TTCTAAAAAAAAATTATTTTTATATAAATGTTGTATATTATATTTATTTTTATTATCTTTATTATATAAATGATAATTGTAATTCAAAAAAATATTGCTTTATATATTTGCATATAAATTATTCAAAAAATTGAATTTATCGTTATTAGTTTTAAAACTTGAATATTATTTAGATATAATGAACTCTAACAGAGTTTAAAATGTTTTAGAATAATGAAAATATCTAAATAACTGGAAAGGTGATGATTTTATGGTTATGGTTTTTAAATACTTTATATTTACTTGCAGTAAAATTTAAAGAAGAAACAATACTTATTATTAAGTATATAATAGTTATAATCAGTATCAGCATACTTGAATAAATTATTCATATTTTGTTCATACTAGTAGTGATATTTTTCAGAAATTATGTAAATGAATCTAACCTAATTTTTATTTAATATAAATAAAATAAGGTAAAAATATATATTTTAACCGTCTTGATTACACAGATGTTAAAAATAACTATTTCAAATGATAATTATTATATTGTCAAAATAAAAATTTATTTTTATCTTAAAATTCTTCATAGATTATAAGGTGAAGGTGATGATTATAAGGTAAATTTTATAATTAGTAAGAAAATTGATCTTATATATTTTTAACTATTTTTCTAAAATAAGATATAAGAAACATTAAAAAAGAATAAATGTTTAAGGAACACTATTTTAACCATTAAATAATTAATAATTATAATAAAGGTATATAAATACTCGGCTAATTTTTAATTAATGTTACATTATAATTATTAAGTAATAACATTAAAATATAATAGTTTAATATGATAGAAAAAGTAAGTTATAAAATCGAATACAAATACAGTTCTAATTAAAATTCATAGTCAAAATACAATTAGTAACAGTAATAATTATTATTATCACTTAAAAATTAATGTTCACATCATTAATGAATTGATAAATAAAACTGAGTGATATGAATATTTAAATAAAGATAACAGAATAAATTTAAATCTGAGTATTTATATGTAATCATTAAATAAAATCACTAAAATACTAAGTATAGTGTTCAGATATAATTCACATTCCTTATTTTGATTATTATGTATCAAATAAGAAAAATACTGTGCATATTTTATTAAGTTGATTGTTTATTTAGACGTTCTATTTTATATTTTTATTCAATAGACATATATTATTGATTTAATATTTAATTAATGTAAATTATAATAGGGCGACTTTTGATAAATCTTCCCTACAAAACAATCCAAAAAAGTTTATATTACATTAGGTAATTAACGTATATTAAATGTTTTTTAAACTAAATTTAAAAAACATCATTTACATTTTAAGGTCCTTAATATATTTATTACTTCTTTAAAATATTAGACATAATATATAATATATTATTACACGATATATTTATACATATCGTTAAACAATATTTATGAATACTTTATTTATTCATTTTATTTATTTCATTAACTTTTATATTTTTTATAATAACCATGAAATAATTGTTAAAATATATACATTAAAAAAAATTATTTTATTTTATAATATGTAATATTTTACACATGATTCTTATTCTTGTTTTCCTTATATCTGTTTTACTCATTATATTTTGAAATTAATTATAAATTATAAATTGAAATTAATATTCAATTCATAGTATTTTATTTTTTAAATTTATTTAATAATTTTTATGATGAAGATATTTTGTTTTTGTATTAAAATTAATAAATTTTGTTTATAAAAACTGCTTCCATATGAAATTAAAATATATAAATATATATATTTATGACATTAATTAAGATTAAATATTTAAGTTTGTATATTCAAAAATTTCACAAATTCGTAAATTCACTTATAATATTATAATTTCCTGTAATAAATCATACATAGACGTCTAATAAATGATACTGAACAATTAATTTATAATATATATCTAAAAAAATAGTGAAACAAAAAAAAATTGTATAATCTAAGAAATTAAATTGATCTTTTAAATATGTAAACGTAATACATAAAAATTAAATTTTTTAATTCAAGATTTGTATGTTAAAATAACTGCTCTAATGAAAGTGAAATAAAAATATGAAATCCATGATATAAAAAAAAATATTTCGAAATATTCTTTTTTAATCCAAATTTACGATAAAATAAATGTTGCAGAACTTGTTAAAATAAATAAACATTGTAAATTTGTAAAAATGTATTAAAACTGTATAAGGAATTTGTTAATATTTTGTAAGAAACATAATATTGTGAAAATCATTCAAAAGAAAATAAATGCAAAGCTTGGATGATAACCTGAAATTATAAATGCAAACAGTTAACAGTAAAAAAGAAGATACTTTTGATTGAAGAAAATTTTGTTACATAGTTGTAAATATAACAAGTAAGCACCTGAATTAATATTGTTTTAAATAGTTGTTTACTCTCGCAGATTATAATTAATTGTAATTATAATTAACTATAATTAATTATAATTATAATTATATATAATTATAATTATCATTATAATTATAATTATAATTAATTATAATTAACACTAGTTATATGCCAAAAATAACTGTAACAGGATAGTTTCGTGCTAAAACTAATTTGTCTATAAGTTTTTATTTTGTTATGTTAAAAATAGAGCCCTGTATATAAAAACAAATTCATTTTACCTAGTCACATCAACTTCTTTTTTGAACCCGTATTCTCCACTAAAAAGCAAGAGAATACATCATCTTGACAGCTGCATCTCTACTGATAGTAATTGAAACTTAATATTCAAATATTTAAAAACAATATTAAAATAATAAGTTAAATAAGTTAAGTTATAATCAATATTTTTAGATATGAAACACATGTATTCTTCAGAGTCAGTTTTCGAATACCACTGATAAAAGAAGATAAAAGGTTGATGTTGCATTCGGGTAAATGTGACATACTTTGCTGTTAAATATTAAGTAGTACGCAATTTAATATTAAATCTCGAACAACATGAAAAGGATACAACATTGAAACATGGAACAAAAGGAATGCAAAACTAACATAGTCATTTATAACTATGATTATGCCTATACTATATCTACATAATGTGTTTATAATAAATTTATAACTGTAGCTATAAATAAGGGCAGTCTACTGGTTTATTATTTTATTTTATTTTATTTTAGACAATTAAAAATTTGTAGTGAATATATATTCGAATATTTAACAACATTTTTAAAATTAATATGTAAATTATTCTGTAATTATAAAAAAAAAATTTTATTTGTAATTATTTTTATTTTACTTCATTATAAAAATTTTTAAGTAGCCACATAGTGATGGTCATTAATAAATTAATGATTCGAGTTAAAACTAAGTAAGAATTATTTTATGCCTATTTCTAACAATAAATGTTAATAAATATATCTAATAATAAATGTAACAATAAAATTTTCCGGAATAACGCACTTTCTAAATTATTTAAACATTCATCTAATTGATTCGAAAGATACAAATTTCATATAAGCGCGAAATTTAAATTAAACAAATACAATTTGTTAAGTAATTTAAATTAACAAATTAAAAACAAATACAGCAATTATTAAATGTTGGAGATTGCTTTATAAAACAAAATTAATTCATTCAATTCATACAGTTTGAATGACATTCTATAATTAAACATTTCGATGAATCAAGATTGTAATTATCGAGTAAAAGAAATAATAATTGTATTATAAATATTTGTATTTATGTGATTCAAGTTTATGTAATTCAATTTAATGTTTATGGCCATTATTTCACATTTGATTTTTTGAAACACCTTACTGCAATACATTGTTAAATAATAATATAAAATTAATTTTTTTAGTATCACTATTCAATAATTATTTATTAACTATTATTAAAATGATTAACTTATAAGATAAAAATTGCTTTGATTTATTATATTAAAATTTAAATTTAAAGATATGGTTTATACAATAATACTGTAACAATATACTAAAACGAATTTAACATTATTGAACAATATAATTAAAAATTTCGAATTATAAGTTTATTATGCAATTCGTTTATATTCGTAAAACATGTTATTGGGGTAAAGTATAAATAAAATTTTAAACGTAATCAAATGGTTATTTATTAATATTAAAAATTATTTTTAATTATTATTTTTCAAGTTTAAATTATTTATTGAATTTATGAATATTATAATTATAAAATACTTAAAAAAATTTTAATCTAAAAACTGCAATAATATTTATTATATAAAATAAAATAATATTCAATATGATAAAATATTACTATAAATGAAATACTAAAATTGAATTGAAAATTTATAAGATTAAGTGCATTTTAAAATTAGAATATAAAATTGAAATAATTATTAATTATTTAGAAAGGTTATTGATTTATATAAAATTTATGCATACTTCATTTTTGTTGGTAATTTTCTCACCATACATAATTTATTAGCTTAATCTTATACATCTTACATAGAAGATAAAGTCTTGCTGATATTCTATGGAATAATTTACTAAAAAAATTCTGCTGAAAATGTTCATATTGACTACATAGTCTCTTTCTTACATTTTTCACATAATATAATACATATTTAACAATCAAAATTTATTCAGTCTTACATGACTCATTTATATTTCCGGAAAGAATATTTACAAAATTTCGACTATATATTGCGCCTTGACAAACGAGTTGAGGTATTAATTATATTTTATCATTCATTCATTTTTATTAATATAAAGAATGTCAATATTATGACATTCATAAATTCACAGCCAAATAGTTGGTAAAAAAATGTTGACAATTCAGTGATTAATGAATTTATCTAACATCTAAAAGATAGCTGTTAATCAAGATTTTAGATGTTATTAACAATTTTCATAAGAATATAAACCATATATTTAAAATTTTTAAATCTGTATTAAAGTAAAATCCTTATGATGAATTTTTTAAAATATGAACGATCGAGTAGATTAAAAATGCATAGAAGTAATACTTTAATTAAACACTCGAACTAGTACTTGTGTTAGTTGGTAAATAGTAATTCCGTATATGTAAATGGTTATGTAAATGCACTGGCGAAAATTGCTGGTTTTCCGCATTCAATGACGAATTCTTCCATTTACACTGACTATCCATAGTTTGTGGACAAGCACCTACTGTAGATCTTTCTGAGTCAGCTACAACATCTATTTCTACTTCTACATCTTCGTCATCCTGCTCCTGCTCATCTTCACTGCAACTGAGCCTGCTAGATTTAATAGGATGAAGACTCGTTTGTATATGCTGATCGTCAGGAGCGAGAAGTGAAGCCACGTCAAACTGACGCTTCCTTGAAGGTTGGAGTGATGCATGTCGAAGTGTTTGTGTAGTGAATGTTTGATGCGATTCATGTACTTGTTGCTGATGTTGTGGGCTCCATATTACAGGTATTGAATGGTTTACTAGTGGTGGTCCTCGTAAGCTCACTGATGGTGGAGTAGAAGGTAACGGAGGTGGACTAGGACTTTCTGGTTCCTCATCCACTGCCAAACCCATGTGCCGACGGACTTTGCGTTGGGCCTTACGTCTTCGAAAATCTCCGCGTCTAAAATCCTCTAGATTCGCTGGATGTATAGCCCAGTAGTGACCCTTACCATTAGCGCTTCTACCTGACTTGACAAAACAATCATTAAGTGAAAGATTATGTCGAATTGAGTTTCGCCAACCAGGTCCACGGCGCCGAAAGTAAGGATAATGCTCAAGGATATGTTGATAAATATCAGAGAGCACAAGTTTCTTTTCTGGTGAAGAGAGAATGGCCATAGCAATAAGACCGATATAACTGTGCTGGGGCTTTGGTTCTTCAGGAATTTGCTGGTGATGTGGTTGTAATAAAGCCATAGAAAATGCTAGTCCACGTGAATATCCAGCTCCCACAGGGTAAAGGGGTAACGGTGTTGGAAAACCTGAGTTTATACCAAGATGACCTGTTCCTGCTTGTCCTACAACAGGTGATTGATTAGTTGTTTGCTGCGGATGCTGAGGGTGTAAATGTTGAGCTAATCGAATGCGTTCAGCCATTGCGTAATGATATAGTTGTAATCGGTAGTGTTCGAGGCCAGGTAAAAAACCAGACATAGAATTACTGACGGACAGACCGACTGCAAGTGGTTCTTTCGATGCCGGAGGGCTTTCGTTGCTACACATATTATTGACACGTATAAATCTAGAATATTCTTGACTTGTGATTATAATTTTGAATATATGATATGCAATATAATAATTTCTAACATTTCATTATATATTGTCAAACAAACACATATACACATATACTTTGCTACGCGCACAAATATTTTGCTAACTAACCCAAAGACTATTATCCTAAATAAAGTAGAATTTATTATAACATATTCAACTATGAGAATTATTATTTAACATCAATATAGGAAAGCTTAATTATTATAAATAAAAATTGTATTAAAAAATTTATAATATGAACATTTCAAAAATGCTTTAACTGTTCAACGATGAGCGAACAACTGCTTATATGATTTGTGAAATAAACTGAGGTTGGCCCAGACTAGCATGCCATAAGTCTCCGCCCCTTGGCTCTTGCTCGACACAACTGACCAATGGATGAATAGTTGGGCGGTTCGAACTAGAGGCGTGTCTATTGCATTTCACCGCGCTCGCTTACTACTCAGATATTGATCTCGGACCAAAGAGGCTTACAATGTCGAGCTGGTTCGGATTGAGTGCCAAGGAGATTCATTATTGCATTGCATGAAATGTGTTCGGTTCCATCCGACACGAGTTATATCACGATTATGTGATTCTTAAGCATTTACAGGTAATCCACAGACATGTGTTCATGTATACATACGTATAATATGAAATAATATCTTTTTCATTTTGTCATATACATAAAAACTATATATTATATATTCAAAATTATATCTATTTACATTTATTCATCATTATCTAAATTTATTACACTTAACATTCATTCTGGTACATAACAATTGCAATCGAAATTTATATTGCTTCCATTTTATAAATTCTTAGTAATGTAATGCATGTCTTCTACTTAATATAGTTCATTACGGTAGGAATATTATAAAATAAAGTCTAAAGAAAAATTAAAACATTAAATTCTAAAATTTGACATAAATATATAAAAAGTATGATCTATGATATGGAAATTTTAGATGTATTTATTTAGTAATATTATTATCATTCCGGTTATTAAAATTGAAATTATTTTTGCTTAATACAAACTAAATAATGTCATTTTAAAATAATACAAAGTAACAATCAAAAATGCACTTAGACACGAAAATTCATTAAAAAAGTATTATAAATTAATATTAACAATGTAATATTGTAATGTAATGTAATGTAATAATGTAATATTAGCAACCTTGAAACATATATAAATTAATACCTTCAGAAATAAATTATACTTTTATAACAAAAAAATATTTTAATAAACATAAAAATTGTATTTTTTAAATTTTAATTTTAATAAATAACATAAGAAAGTTTAGATAAAAAATCACTTTCACACGTATATATATATTTTATATATATATATTTTTTATAATATATAGTTTAAGAACATAATTTCTGATGTAAACTTCATATTTAAGATTGCAGCTAAAGATAAAATATATTTTTATTAATATTCTTCTTTACTAATATTGTATTAATCTTAGAATTTATTGATAATTTTACTACGATATATTTACAGAAATTTTTATGTTAAAATATAGTTGTTTTTTAAGATAAATGTCTTTATTTAAAACCTCTTTTAAATACCAAAATTTTTATCATTATTATCATTGATATATATACTACATTATGATTTATTTGTAAAAGATTTTTACTTTAATTGAGAACAACTTCTTCTATGTTTATATTTAATATCTATTCTATAGATAATACAATTATCTATTAAAGAAAATTTTTTTAAATTGATTTGTTTTCTAACCAGAATACATGTATGTATTTATTTCACATTAACTATTAAATATATTTAATATATTAAATGGAAATATTTGAATATATATTTTATTATCAATTTGAAAAAATTAAAATTATAATTTCAATAATTGTAATTAATAATGACTATGACTATTTTTCAATGCAGATGCTTTTGTATTGCTTATAGTAGATCATATAGATAATTTTTGCTTTGATTGATATAATATATACACATATAAATTAATCATTCAAATTTAATAGTAACAAGAATAATACAATTTTAATAATAATCTATATTAAAAAGAAAATGAGTTAACATGTAATTGCGTATATCCTATGAGTAAAAATATTCATTATTATATAAGGCATTATCTAATACCTTTTACAATTTTATTTAGTAAAGCGTAAAAAATTGAATCAAATCTAGTCAAAAATTACCTTTTATAGTTGAATTGAATATCATATAAAAATATGAATATTATACTCTATTAACAGATGATAAAATTATTAATTATAATATTACGAAAGTTTATATCAAATTATTTATTAAATTTTCTAATTACACGGTAATTGAATAATTGCATGCACTTTGTAAATTATTATATTATTGTAGATAATATTGTATATAATATAAATAATATTGTAATTGCATTAAATTGGTAAATACAAATCACAAATAATATTTAATGAAATCATAATTAACAGAATGTTATAATTTTATATTATTAAATTTGACATGAACATTTCTTATTGCAAACATTATTGAATATAATTCAAAAAATTCCAAATTTGAAGTTTGTTTTTATGTTTTAGAGAAAAAAATGTATTATTTTATCGTTACTTTAAAACATAGTAATATGAATTTTATTCTTTATAACTTTAATAATAAGATGTATAAAATTAATATGATGAATTTTAAATACTATTTTTATTGCGAAATTCATTTTTTTATGTATACTTTTGTTAATATAGTTTAAGATAAAAAATAATTATAATACAAATATACAAATAATTTTAGATTAATAAATTTTTTTATGCTGTAATAAATTTTGTGTAATAATTTGAATAATTTATTAAATAAAAACTGAAAAAATTTTATTTAAAAATATAACATTATTGTAAGTATATTATTTTTGTTCACAAAATTTATGTATAATTTAATTTAACTAATTGCAAATTCAAATAACTAAATTAATTTTTTTAAGAAAACTATTTGATATTCAAAATCGTTCATAAACTAGGAAAGGTATAGTACTTCGGTTTTGTTTTGGAAGGGCGAAGTCATTTCAAGGGCGTGGCTTAAACTCTATACTGTTAGAAAGTTGGTGTGCTTATTGAGCAAAGATAGTGAAATGGGAGTTCTTCCTCCTTATTTAATCTATTACTTGCGGAACATTTTTGAACAATAAAAATGGCTTATTCGATTCACTTTAATGTATTAAATTTGTAAAATTGTAATATACAGTACAATTTACGAATGCATAATAAGTAAAAAGATTTCTTTTTTAATATCATGGAAGAATCATCAAAAAGTAGTTCATATTCCAAAATGCCTATAATTTTATCCTAATAGAATTTTAATTTGGCCGAATCAATTTTTTATTATTTCAAAAATATTTTTAAAACATACAAATAAATTAAATGAAAATCTTTATAAAATTTTTAAAATTTTTATAAAAACGTTAATTAGCAATGTATTATATAGTTAAATATAATTTACAAAATAATATAAATAAATGAATAAGATAAATAATGTTTCATTTTTAAGTGTTTATTCATGTATGATATAATGTTGCTTAATAAAAATAGTGTGTTAATATTAATATTTTCTGTATTAAATAAATTAAGCGGTTGAACATTATTTAAAATTATTTTTCAAAATTTAGATATTATATATTAATCAAGATAGATTTCCTTTTGTATATACAAGCGTTCAGCATTATTATTTAAAATAAATTATGTTGTACTCTTTCTAGTTTAAATTACAATAAATCTTACCGTATTTGCTCTATTCTTTTTTAAGAGTCATTCAATTAAATTCATTTGCATTTCATTTAAAAAAATAATATAATAAATTTTAATGCCATTAATATAATGTGTAGTGATTAATAATACCAATTTAGAATTAAGTAACTGTTTATAAATTTATTTTGTAAAAATGCTATTTTAAATCTTTTTTTAATCACTTTTCTTTCATATATATTTATGAGTTTTGTAAATAATATGAAATTACTTTTTATTTGTTTATCCATTAATTTAAAGATTTTATTAAGTATTTTTTAAATAAATTATAAATTATTTAGACTTTAAAAGTGATTAATCAACAAATTCTGTTTTGATTAATAAGTCGAAATTTACACAACTTTCGGCTAGGATAATACGGGTAGTGTGCTTAGCATAGTACTCTTACCAATATCTATATTAACATCTCACGATTATTATAATTAACAATTATCTCTTTTTAATGCTACACATTTAAACATTGCATTTTTAAAGAATATGACATGAAATATACAAAATATTGACAATTTAACCAATGAATAATAATATTTATTAATATATTTTATAATGAATTTAACAATTAATTAATAATCCTATTGTTACAGTCAAGAAAGATTTTTAAAAAGCTTTTAATCTAATTCTATACTATTGAAAATACTGACAAATACTAAAATTTAGAACGAAAAAGAATGTATACACTTTACGTATACTCAAAGTATATTTGACATATATATCATAATTATAGCTATATCAGTTGTAACTATGATGTATAATCAATTGATAAAAAAATATTTTAAATATTTATACATATTAATATATTAAACTATATTAAACAAATATTTTTTCTCACTTTTACGTATATTAATGATAATGATAATAATAATAAATAATAATAATTTTATTGAATTTAACCTACTACTGATTTTATATGTTTTATAAAAATATTTTTATTATATAAAACCTTATCTATGAAAAATCGGTCTACTAAAAATTTTTTTTAAAAATTAGTATTTTAATTTAGAAGATGTTATTATATTAAAATGTAAATTTTAAGCTACATAATTAGTCTGTAAACAATATTATGATACAATTAGTAACAGCTATTATTGCGTTTATATTTTACTTCTGTTTAATTTAACTCCATCATTTAAAATTGTATTGTTAAAAAACTAATAAGTATCTATACATAAAAATATGCATACGATATACATAAGCAACCATGT